TGTTTGAAATTCTTGTCTGCCTCTTTCTCAATATCTTCCCCTCCCCCAGTTGCAGAGCTCCCACCCTAGTACTTCAGGCACTGGTAGAGAGAAATGGGTTTATTCATTTGAATCCAGCCTAGCTGGGATAGCTGGGTTCTCTATCACCACCTTCCTCTTTGCCCAAGGGAGAGGTCACCTCTGTCATATAAATAAGCCCCGGCAGCATCTTTTTGTGGGGTGCCAGGAAGTGGGGTACCCACCTCCACTGTGACCAGACTCACATCCACTGCATCCAAACACATGCTCTTCTTTTTTCCTCCAATGGTGGGTTGGATTCTCCCTTTGGGAGGGCTGGACTTCTGCAAGTTCTCTCTCATGGGTAAGTGCCTTCCCAGTTCAGCACTCACCCGATTCTTGCCCAAGAGCAGCAAGAGGCCTATAGGCAGTGTCCCTGGATCCACTGGTTCCACAGCCCATATGGAGGTTTGTCTTTCTCCTATCAGCTACACTGGTGGGTAAGGTTCTTTTGGGTCAGTTGGAGGAAGGCGTAAAGTCTGAAAATCCCCACTAAGATGCTCTTGTGTATGTATGGATATCTAATTCATTGATCAAAAAGGGAGATAAAAAGGAGAAACTTCTTACAATACCATGTTGCTGATGTCACCACAAGTGGGAGCATTTTAAGAGCTTGGACCACATCTCAATGACTTTTATGTTCCAAGTGACTGACACAAAGTCTAAGGCATTAGTAGAAAGCAAAAAATGTTTGCTGAATAGTAACAATATTAAAAGAGAATCGGTGCAATGAGAAAATTCTTCAAGGATAGTAGAACTTTGCTGCCATGTCTTTTCATACTATTTCTAGGGAAAGGCTGCTGTAAATGGACTTGGGAAACCACAGCACCATCACAGAGTTCACCCTCCTTGGACTGTCTGCCAACCCCCACATCTAGGCACTGTTCTTCGTGTTGTTCCTGGATATTCACCTTCTGACAATAGTGGGGAATCTGATGATGCTGCTGGTGATCAAGGCTGATGCTCATCTCCACACACCCATGTACTTCTTCCTGAGTCACCTCTCTTTCCTGGATCTTTGTTTATCTTCAGTCACCGTTCCCAAGATGCTGAAGGACCTCCTATCTGTGATAAAAACCATCTCAGTAAGGGGCTGCCTGGCACAAGGCTTCTTTGTGTTTATCTCTGCTGGGACTGAGGGCTTTCTGCTCTCAGCAATGGCCTATGACCGCTATGCTGCCGTCTGCCACCCTTTGCTCTATGGACAGATGATGAGAAAACAGCTGTGTGTGCAGCTAGTGTGGGGCTCATGGGACTTGGGTTTTTTGAACGCTTTTATCAACATCCTCCTAGCTGCCAACCTGAGCTTCTGTGAGAACCATATCATCAGCCACTACAGCTGTGAGGTGCCCTCTCTCTTCCCTCTGTCCTGCTCTGATGTTTCTACCAACTTCATAGTCTTGCTCTGCTCCAGCCTTCTACATGGGCTTGGAACCTTCTTCCCAATCATCTCATCCTATGCCCACATTGTCTCCACCCTTCTGATCATCAGCTCCACCTCAGGCAGAAGCAAGGCCTTCTCCACTTGCTCCTCCCACATCATTGTGGTGAGCTTCTTCTATGGATCTGCTTTTCTCCGCTATCTCATGCCAACCTCAGGATCCCCCCTGGAATTGATCTTCTCTGTGCAGTACAGCATGGTTACTCCCATGCTGAATCCTCTCATCTACAGCCTGAAGAATAAGGAGGTGAAAGCAGCTGTGAGAAGAACACTGGGAAATTACTTACCATGTTACTGGCAGAATATAGCACACTAGAGAGACATTATGGGAGTTAGCATTAAGAAGATCTTCTTAGGTCTACACAATGTTAGATGTTGAGACATAAGTTAACAGTGTATAAGAAATGAATACAAAGATATTATATGGGTGTTAGCTGAGTACAAATAGAGGGAAAATAGTAGGATACATTATATCTCAATTTAGAAAATATGGAAATGAAAGTGTTGATTCTCACTACTCCTCAAATATTCACTTTGGTCGTCTTATTAGGTGAAAAATTTGAGTCTTAAATCATTATTTGTAATTGCGTTTAGGAAATTCAACGAAAGCCATAACTTCACTAGTAAGTAAAGGTTCTGGACAGTTGAGTAAAATCAGTGTTAGACTTTAGGTCACATGGGAAGAGAATAATGAATTTCTACTGATTTGCCCTTGGATATATGCAAAATGAACTCAAGATGCTGAAGAAAATGAGTTCGTATATTGGGACAGAGACCGACTCAGATAAACCTTCAAAAACCCTGTTATTTCTTACCACGAAATCCTTAAATATGCAAATTTATATAGGCATAAATTTTTAGATACATGAATGAAAGAATGTTATTATCATAAAATAATTAAAAACAAAACACTTTAAATCCATAGAGATTAACAAAGACAGCAAATATTCTAAAAATGTGGACTTAATTATTCCAAACATAGTTCAATTGTGTTCCTTTTGTTCCTTATTTAATTAAGACAAAAAAAATTATGCCAGAACAGTCTAATTTGACTGAAACCTATAGCTCATTGTAAATAATAAATGGAAATTTTGATTTATATAATAGTCATTTTGTACTTAAGATTACAATAAACTTTTTAAACAAATCCTTCACTAAATACTTCAAAATTGGGAGCACTCAACCTGTAACGGAGCCTTATGTAGAAATCTAAATAGGGGGTCGGCCCCACGGCTTAGCGGTTAAGTGCATGGGCTCCACTGCTGGCGGCCCGGGTTCGGATCCCAGGCGTGCACCAACGCGCTGCTTCTCCGGCCATGCTGAGGCCGCGTTCCCACATACAGCAACTAGAAGGATGTGCAACTATGACATACAACTATCCACTGGGGCTTTGGGGACAAAAAGGAGGAAGATTGGCAAAAGATGTTAGCTCAGAGCAGGTCTTCCTCAGCAAAAAGAGGAGGATTAGCATGGATGTTAGCTCAGGGCTGATCTTCCTCCCAAAAAAAAAAAAAAAGAAAAGAAATCTAAATAGAAATAAATTTGAATTAATAGGTTAGGCAATTACAGTGCTTGTTAACTTTTTTGTCTTTTTATATTTTGATCAACAAATCACTTTTACACAGCAAATTCAACTGGATTTGGTTTTGCCTGAGAGTCCTAGAGAAAAGACGTATCCCTTAGAGTGTCAACTGAAAACTATTCCTTTCCTGCTTGGGGAGCCAGGCAAATACCCCTTTGGCCACTCTCCACTTTCAACTCCCACTAGACTCAGAAGAGTGTAGAAGTAATGATTATAGGTCATTTCATCACTCAGTTGTTCCAAAGGCCACACATAAGAGATCCCTATTGATCCTTATAAAATTCGATGTTGAAAATAGTTCTTGAAAACTAAATCCAACTCCAGATTATGACTAGAGAACACAAAAGCTGTTGCCTTTACCGTGCCCTGGGCTGCCACAGGCAAGAAATCAAACCAATCAGCTGCCTAAACGTAGCTGCTCTGTGGACTGGTTAAACCCAAACAATACTATGTGTGACTGAGACATGATTTTAGAAACAAACAAAACTAAAGTGTTTGAGATCCTTTGAAAAAAAGGAATTGTCTTATGCCTATTTAAATTTATTAGTGTAGAATTCAATAAAATATTTCATCATCAATAGGATTTTATAAATTCTACCATGCTAAAAGACATAGAAGCCATTTTCTCCAGGTCATCTTCCTTCTTAGTAGATGAATCTAAATGAAAGTGCTGCAGCCAAATTGGACGGCAAATTGCCTAACTGGAAAGGATACACAGGTAATGTGTGTTTGGGGTGTGGGAAGGATTTTGAGGCTGGGCTTTCCTTTCGCTTACTTTTCTAGAGATTCTGGCCTATTCTGGGATACACATCCATCCTAGTAATGCTCTGCAGGGAAAGCCCAAGGGCCTACATTGAGTCCCAACCACTTTTCCTCCCCCTTGTCATCTCTGCAGTCTTGCAGCTGTACCTATTGCAAGAATTACATGCCCTCCTTTCTGAGTGAAAGCATCCATGGTAACAGCAAAGTAGAGACAGGCTCCACTCTAAAATAATAATAAACTTCTAATTTGTCTTCCAGCTTGGATCATGAGCAGAGGAGGGCAGCTACTGTGAGTGATTTCAATGTGAATTTCTTACACTTCTCTTGATAAAGGCATATAAAGTAATAACAACAGCAGTATTAGCAGCAACAACTTTGATTCTTTGATAACACTTCACTCTATGTGAGAATATAGGTGACTTTTGACTTTAATCTCAAAGAATAACAAGAATAATAATAGATAGTTAGGAGTAGGTGCTTTTGAAGAACTTTGTATATAATCTCTCATTTAATCCTAAAAATTTTCTGTGGTACTATTATTATCTGCATTTGCACATAAGGAGATCAAGGCAAAGAGCTTAATGTGTCTTGTGCTAAGTCCTATAGCTAATTAGTGGTAGACCTGGAATTTGAACCTAGTCTGTTGCAGGAGCCCTCATGTTCAGCCACTGATTTCTGATGCCCACATATTCCCTAGGCATCAGTTTTTCAAAACTACTCATGTTTTACCAATCATAGCTTGATTTTCCTCAGTCCTGAGCCTTTGAATGCATTGTTCATGCAAACTAAATAGCTGTCAGAAGCACATTTCCAAGAGCAACTATACCCTTTCTTAAAAATTTTGTCAAATTCATCCAACATAGTGTCATTATTGACTTGCACTAAATCACAATTTGAGCTCCCATTGCATTATTACAGTTATATTTTGTCTTTCTATCCATGTTCTTCAGGGGCAAAATTAAGAGCCGGGACCATATCTTAAACATCTTTTTATTTTAAGTGGTTGACACAAAACATAGGTCATAATAGAAAGCAAAAATGTTTACTAAATGATAGTGATATGAAAATAGAATCAATGCAATGAAAAACTTCCTTGGAAAACATAGACCTTTGGCTGCCGTGTCTTTTTATATTATTTCCAGGGAAAGGCCTTTGTAAATGTCCTTGGGGAACGACAACACCATCACCAAATTTATTCTCATTGGACTATCTGAAAATCCCCACGTCAAGGCTCTGCTCTTTGCGCTGTTCCTGGAGATTTACCTCTTGACCATCATGTGAAACCTGATGCTGCTGCTGGTGATCAGGGCTGAATCTCACCTCCACACACCCATGTACTTCTTTCTGAGTCACCTCTCTTTTGTTGATCTCTGCTTCTCGTCAGTCACTGTGCCCAAGATGTTGGAGAATCTTCTGTCACAAAGGAAAACAATATCAGTAGAGGGCTGCTTGGCTCAGGCCTTCTTTGTGTGTGTTGCTGCAGGGACTGAAGCCTGTCTGCTCTCAATGATGGCCTATGACCGCTATGTCGCCATCTGCCACCCATTGCTCTATGGACAGATCATGATTAAACACCTGTATATGCAGCTTGTGTGGGACTCATGGGGACTGGGCTTTCTGGACGCACTCATCAACATCTTCCTAGCTATGAACATGGTCTTCTGCAAGGCCAAGATCATCCCCCACTACGGCTGTGAAATGCCCTCTCTCCTCCCTCTGTCCTGCTCTGATATCTCCAGGAACCTCATTGTCTTGCTCTGCTCCACTCTTCTGCATGGACTGGGAACCCTCCTTCTGGTCTTTTTATCCTATGCCGGCATTATCGCCACCATCCTGAGCATCAGATCGACCTCAGGCAGAAGCAAGACCTTCTCCACATGCTCCTCCCACCTCACTGCAGTGACACTGTACTACGGCTCAGGGTTCTTCTGCTATCTCATGCCAAATTCAGGTTCCCTCATGGAGTTAATCTTCTCTGTGCAATATACTGTAGTCACTCCTATGCTGAATCCTCTCATTTACAGTCTGAAGAACAAGGAGATGAAGGCAGCTCTGAAAAGAACTTTGGAAAAGTATTTACAGCATATCAGGTACTGAAATCAAAACAGAGGATTGAAAAGATCTGCATACAAAAGGACATTAGGTGAGTTTAGTAGTAAGGAGTAGTCTTGACTATTTACAATGTCAAATGTTGCAACCTAAATTAGAAGTTCATGAGAGAACGTCATCAAGTTATTACAGGAAGGATGGTTCACTTTAATTCCTTTTAAAGGCAAAGGAAATTATTAAATAATAAGAATCTAGAGAGTTTCACTATGAACATATTGATTCATTTTTCTCCTTCTAAAACATTTGCCTCAGGCTTCGCATTCAGTAAAATCATTAGTTTTGAAGGTGAGTACCTGGGGGTGGCTGTAGATATTCAATAAGAACATGATTGCCTTTTGACCTTGTTACCAACACAGACATAGATGAATCTTGTCAATTTGTTGTTTTCTTGTTTAAATTGAGGAGTGACTTGGGTCTGGAGGATTTGTGAGTTTGTTTTGCAGAAGAAAGAGAATGCCGTCTGGGAGACTACGATCACCAGATGGCCGGCCCCCAGCAGACGTTGCTGATCGCCTAGAGGCTTATCCAGAGTGACCCCTTTGTTTCTCCGAAGCTCTTCCTGCCAAGTCCCTTAGCTCTATAAAACCTCCTGCTTTTTGCTCTGGTTAGGGCAGATTTGAGTGAACCCATGCTCCCACCTTCTCATCTTGGTCAACTCGAATGGACCCTTTCTCCATCTCCAAGCACCGACGTCTCAGTTGTTTGGCTTGCTGCACATAGGGTACAAAAACTTGAGATTAAGAGGTTTGGTATCAATTTCATGAATCTATTATTATTTTTAATCAACTTTGGGGAATACACTAAAAGTCATGCATTTGATAAGAATGTAGGGTCCGGGATCTGTAAGAGAGAATAGTCATAGAGAAGGGTAGATAGGGAGAAAGACAAAGAATTTCAACTGGGTGGCCATAGAGACAGGCATTAAAAACTAAAAATTCTGCAGAGAGACAATGAACATATCGAGGGAGAGCTCAGACTTAGATAAAATTTCCAGCAACTTTTCTGTATGCGCCATGTGGTGTCCAGATCTCCAGTGTGAGAGGCTGCGGGGAGGTTCTGTGGCTCTAGAAACTTCATTTCTCACATAGTCTTCTTGCAGATTTATAATTTCTCCAATTAGCTGATCTCATCAGTGTTCTTTTCTTTATAGAGTGCAGGCTATGTGCCCTAGACAAATAATCTGGTTTTGAGCTCATCACAAGTGAATCCTGAAACCATCTTTGTCTTTCATCTTTTGGCTGTCAAACAACTGGTCGCTGTTTAGGGGCTGGTGGTTTCCTGGTTTTAAGGGACTGCATCATGCACGCATAATTCATTTTTACCTATACAACATAAATCCATTTCACATTGCTTCTGACTTGTTTAATCTATATTTTACAGTTGTCTAATTCATTGTAATTCAGTGAAAAGGGGTAAAAACTAAGTACAAATTATTGAATTTACTTAATATTTAACTTTTACTTTTCTCAACCTTCTCTCTTAAACTCACTTTGTTCCAATTGTCAGTTACAAAAGGTTTTCATCCTCATCTGGTCACTGATAAGTCACAGTTGAAGCCTTTTCTCAATTGATACTCTAGAAAACTCTAAATGCATTTTCCCCCTCCACAGACAACAGGATATTTTTTTGTTTCTTTGATCTAAGGTGAAACACCAGCTAACCCTCTAAGGTCAAGCTTCCTGTGGTGAAGGGGAGCACAAGGAACTACACCCTGGGATGAAGGTCAGTGAGCAGATACCACCAGATGACAGCGACTAAGAGGAAGATACCAACAGACTTAGTCTAATTCCCTTTAGTATAAGTCAAAGACATGAAATCATAACTGTGTGAAAACTTCCCTACAAATCTAGAGGCTCAGCAGTGTTCTCCTTGTTGGAGGAGCAACACCCTTGAACTTCAGTGCCCACAATGTTACCCCACTGCTTACTATAGTGGCTGATCAGTGAAAAGCCTTAGAGAAGACCTTAAAGAAGCTCTTCTTAACCATTATCCCAAGGGTTTTGATGCCCTTCTGGCCTCCAGAAATTCAGCGAGACCCTGCCTGCATATTGGCCTTCCCAAGAAGTTTAAGTAACTGGTAACAATCCTAGCATACACCTGAGTGCTTATTATTGAGAGGTTGAATATATGGGAAAATTCTCAGTATTAATTTCCCAGGAATATCATTCCCTTAGCAGGCCTGAAGGTTCTTCCTGTAAGACAGGTGACAAAAAAGACAGCAAATATGCCAGCGAGAGAGTCTTGCAAGGTGACAGTTCATGCTAAGTTTTTCAATTTTACCTTAGTTTCATTGTGTTCTTTGCTTTTTTACTATTAAAACTCTTGCAATCTATTCTATTTCTTTTATCATTTTATCTTATAAAAAATATTGCCTTTATGAAAAACACGTAGGTACAGTTAAAGAATGATTTTGAAATGAATGCCCATGTGCCAACTACTCAGTTTAAGAAATTATTCATTTTACCACCCCTCCCCCCTCCCCGAAACTGAGCACTACTCTGAATTTGTTAATTATTCCCTTGGTTTTTTTATATAATTTAGTTTTGCCTCTTTCTGAAATTTAAATAAATAAAATTATAAAATATGTATTGTTGTGACTTTCTTCTTTTCACCCGTAGGAAGTTATTACCCTTCAGAGGCTCTGGTTTTGGCAGTCAGCTGTGATGTGCCTAAAATCACTAACATAGGCTGCTGCTTGACTCACTAAGGGATTCTATACCCTTTGGCCTAATATAGAAGTTTTCAGATTTGGGTGCCTAACCAGCAGCTTTGGAACCTTTCTCAGGTTAGAGATTTAGAGACCAAATGCACCTTCTGACAAGGCTACACTGGAGTGAAGAAGAACTTAAATGATGACCTGGATAATTCAGATGGTAAATTCCAACAGCTTGGAAATTTTCAGATTCTTAGAAGAATTAACTTAATTCATTATTTTATTTTGATATTGTAGCATCTGAATTCAACAGAATTTGAGAAGCCCAGAGATTAAAATAGTTCCTTAATATCAACCAGCTGGTTGTTCTTCTCTGTTCCTGATTACACTTTATTTGGATTTGACTCCTGAGGCTGAAGATTGCCATTCTGGTTAGAATGCAGATGTTACTGGACCTATGAAGGAAGAAGAGGATAGGACATTGGATGGCTATTTAATGGGAATTGTATGGGAAGGAAGGAAGAACTGAGAAATTGCCTGGCTTAGCAGAATTGGAACTTGTTATTTTGAGTCCAAAGATTCAGAGTTTGTGTTATAAGCCAAAGCTGGTACTACAGACAGGCCTTAAAGTTTCACTAGACAAGTCAATATATTGTTGAGAGGCTCCCTGCCAATGTGAGAGCATGGAGAGGAGCCCAACCTGAGTTGGAGCTACAGAGCAGGGTTAAATCTTGGCATGAAGACATGGGTGTACAAACCTGGATACTGGTGCAGCATAATGTGCTGGTTAAGAGACAAACCCTGGAGTTTTGTTTAAGGCTCTGTCTCTTAGAGCCATGTAACCTTGAGCAGGTTTTTTAAACCTTCTGTGATCCCATAATAATATGATATTTCTATGGGGATTAAATGTGTTAATACTTGAAAAATATTTAGAAGTGACTGACACATACTAAGTACTGTATAGATTTTCTTTACATTTTTTAAATTCCATATCAGTTCAACAAATGCATATAGACCTCTCTGACATATGTGTGCTTTGTGTGGTGTCTTGCACATCAAGAACTCAATAAATAATTTTTGAAATATTCAATACTCAATACAATTCAAATAATGAATTGGTAAAAGAATGACTGGATATCTGGATAAGGGAGGGAGGGAGGAAGGAGGGGAGAAATGTATGATAATTGGCCTGGGTAGTTTCTTGATGGCACTGATAACTTTTCCAACTCACATGTCTGAAGTTCACTGAGTAACATGAAATAAAATCATCTGGTGTCAAACCACCAGTCCAAGAATCAGAGGATAAGCCTGATACATCTCAGGTTTAGGAATGACATTGAATTGGGGAAGAAATGCCTGTGGGTCAGAGGAGAACCAGCCCAGGGAGAAGCAAGCATCCTGAGGCAGAGATGCACGGCCAGAGAGGATGAATGAGTAATTTGTTACCAACTGCTACTTGGTAATGCATTCAGTAAATTTCTTACAAACTGAAATTCAAAGCATTATATAGGCAACAACATACATAATTTACCATGTAAATTACCTATTACAAGAAGAAAAGTATAGAAAGAATAAGACCTAGTATGAGGAAAAGAAAAAAGAGACCAAGGACATGAGTAAAAAGATATGAGTGAAGGGGAATGGTTCAATCTAGGTCAAAAGAGTGAAAGAAGGAGGATAAACAGAAAGTACAAAAAAAGATATTAAAAATTAACCCAAATACTACCATATTCGTAATAGATATAAATGGCTTAATTCCATAGTTAAAAGACAAAAATTATTACACTGTAGAAAAAAATATGCATATTGTTTACAGGAGATAGTTCTAAAACTTAAGAACAAAGAAAGATTGAAAATCAAAGGATGGAAAAAGACATGAGACAAATATGGACCAAATTATTATATCAATATCAGAAAAAAACAAATATTATGGCAAAAATAACTTTACAAGAAATAAAGTATGTTACCTATAATGGTAAAAGTTCAGGTCATTGGTTTGAAAATGTAATTTTAAAGAGGGTTAAAATCTGCAGGAAGAAAGGAATTAAAACTGTAACCTAAGGACATTGGGGAAAACCCACTGTAACGGGGGGAGAGGAAAAGAAAAAAAGTTCTATTTATGGGAAAAAGGCAAGGATATGTGCCAGGCAGTCAGAAAAAAAACATATATTATCTACAGAGGTTGAAAGATAAGAATTTCAGAAGACTTCTTGTCAAAAACCATGTGAGTAATGAGAAAATGGAATGAAAATTTTAAAATGCTAAAAGAAATTATCAATCGAGAATTCTCTACCCAGCAAAAACAACCTTTAAGAATAAAAAGTAAACAAAGACTTTCTTAG